GGCCAGTGTGGCCCTCCAGGACAGGGCCTCCCCACGCCCACTCCACAGCACACCCACCAGCCAGTGTGGCCCTCCAGGACAGAGCCTCCCCACGCGCACTCCACAGCACACCCCCCCGGCCAGTGTGGCCCTCCAGGACAGGGCCTCTCCATGCCCACCAAGCCTCTCACATGGATGTAGGGCCGTGCTCGGAGGACAGAAAATGGGGTCATCTGAGCATGTGGGTGATGGCCACTTGGAGGGGTCAACATCCACCTGGGAGGGGCCCCTTGACTGGTCCTCAGTTTATTTGTTTGTGAAAGGTCCCCCAGTTTACTAACGTATTAACAAAATGTCCCCACTTATTAATGTATTAATGAAATGCCCCCCAGTTTATTCACTTATTGATGAAATGCCCCCCAGTTTATTCATTTATTGATGAAATGCCCCCCAGTTTATTCACTTATTGATGAAATGCCCCCCAGTTTATTCATTTATTGATGAAATGCCCCCCAGTTTATTCACTTACTGATGAAATGCCCCCCAGTTTATTCACTTACTGATGAAATGCCCCCCAATTTATTCACTTATTGATGAAATGCCCCCCAGTTTATTCATTTATTGATGAAATGCCCCCCAGTTTATTAATGTATTAATGAAATGCCCTTAGTTATTACTGTATTAACGAGTGTCCCCCAACTTGCTCATTACTAAAGCGATGCCCCCTAAGTGAAGTGTCCCCAGTGCACTGACTGATGACAGGTTCCCAGGCTCACTCGTGTTAATGGGCGCCCGCCAGCGTATTAACGTACCACCAGTCTGCAAGGCGCCGGGCACACCCAGAGCCCAGACGATCCCAGCCTCTCACACCTGCTTTCCGCGGCTGCCCCAGCTGCCTCCTCCAGGGTCTGCCGCCCCTTACTGTCCCCCTCCTCAATTCCTCTTTTACTAGGCAGACCCCACATACTCAGGCACTCTTCTCCTCCAGGCCACGCGGACGTCATGCTCTGTGCCCCCCAGCCTCCCCTCCCCACGCAGTGACCGTCTGTGCTCTTGCTGTTCCCCCTGCTGGCTGGGTCTGCATCCCCAGGGCTGGCTGAGGGCAGGCACTCAGGGGTTTGCTGACTGACCACCAGAAGGAGTGGAGAAAATAACAGCTAAATGACCCCAGTATCTTAGTCATCTAGTGCTGCTGTCACAGAAACACCACCGTGGATGCCTTTAACAGACAGCAGTTTATTCTCTCACAGTCTAGGAGGCTAGAAGCTCAAATTCAGGGCATGATCCAGGGGAAGGTTTTCTCTCTCTGTCGGCTCTGGGGAAGGTCCTTGTCATCAATCTCCCCCTGGTCGAGGAGCTTCTCAGCACAGGGACCTTGGATCCAAAAGACGTGCTCTGCTCCCGGTGCTTCTTTCTTGGCGGTATGAGGTCCCCCTGTCTCTCTGCTTGCTTCTCTCTTTTATATCTCAAAAGAGATTGACTTAAAACGTAACCTAATCTTACAGATTAAGTTTATGTAACTGCCAGTAATCCCATCTCATCAACATCATAGAGGGAGGATTTACAACACACAGGGAAATCACATCAGTTAAAACGGTGGACAATCACACAATACTGGGAATTATGGCCTACCCAAGCTGACAATATTTTTGGGGGACACAATTCAATTCATGACACCCAGCTACTGCACACCACAGGAGTCTTGGTGGTGCAGTGGTTAAGGACTTGGCTGCCAACTGAAAGGTTGGTGGTTTGAACCCACCAGCCACTCCATGGGAGAAGGATGTGACAATCTGCTTCTGTACAGATTACAGCCTTGGAAACCCTACGGGTCGCTGTTTTTGGTTTACTGCACGCCGTCACCTGGGGGCTGCACCGAGCTGCCCACGGATCCAGGACACCAGCACCACGTGACTCCACTGCTTGCGAACAGCAGTTTCCTGAGAAGACCCAGAAGGAAACGTCCGAGAGTCTTGGAAGCAACCGGCCAAGGTCAAGGTCGAGGGTGAGAGGATAGGGTGGTGGCTGATCAGCAGACAGTCCCAAAATAGAGGCGGTGAGAAATGTGAGGCACCAAGGGGTCCCAGAAGACGGAAGGTGTTCCAAGACACTGGGCGGCAGGTTCCTGCACGGCACGCTGGATTTTTCCACCAGGTCCTGCCACTGAGCACCAGGATCGGGTAAC